ATCTATTTAATGTCAGATAGTTGCGAAGCTCAACCCAATGTCTCCTTTAGCTACCTCAATCCTTCCTTAAGATTTTCAAAGGGAAATCTTAAGCATAATACTTGGGCCACCGCTAGAAATTACGATGCATCCTTAATACGGTTATAAAATATTAATGTTATTTTTATCATGGTCTAAAGCTAGGAAGGAAAGAAAGTTAGTTACCACTGGAATGTCGGTTTTTCTTCATTTTCATGAACACAGTTTTGGGGTCTTTTTTTCTTGAAGTTGATAATGCGGTGCCGATCTCCTTTTTTATGCTGTCAGCCAGGAGTGCCGCAATATACAGGCAGAGTCAACAGCCATACACTGAGTGTATTGCGTAGTTCCGTATCTTCTTCTTACAGAGTGATACTCGTTTATCAACCTCGGAAGAAAAAAGGGTGAGTGAATCTGACCAGGGTTTGAACTCGAAACTTATCGGATCTGAGTTCGACGCTCAACGGACTGAGCAACTTCGGTCTGAAGCAAATATGGTGAATTTTTTGCTCAAGGGAATTTGTGAATATGCCATAGACTGCCCTCAAGTGAAATCAAACCCGGCACCTCCGGAGTTCGAAGCAGACTACATAGACAACTGTGCAAATACGTCACTAAAGGTAAAGCTAAAGAAGGACTGAAACAACCGTTTTTGCAACTAATAACGTCTGGTTTTATTAACTTAGTTCGCTGCCGAACTGTTGGCACGCAAGGAATGAAACTTTTATGACTTACCTTAAGCACTGTCCATAGATGATATTTTTATTCGTTAGCAGGTAAGTCCCTATGGCGCTTCTGCCATTTAACTTGCGGCATAAGGTAGTCACAATTAACTGTACAAAATTTGTTGGACAAGTCAGAAAATAGTAGATGAGGGTGTAACCGTTTGTTACAAAGCGTCCTTGTATTCAAAATCAGGCAGCAGTTTCTTTTCTAGATCACTGATTCTCTTCAAGATGGAACTTATCCAACTGTACCTGACAAATCCAGTAAAGATTCCAGTAGCAGGCTGATGACCTGACAACAATGGAGAAGCTGTATCGTCTTGGAGAGATCCTGTCAAAATTAATTAAGGTTGCAGCAACATTGCTCGATTAGTGTGCTGCAAACTAAATGGCAATTAACATTATCATTAAGAGAATGTAAAAATCGTCAAATTAAGTAATGCTGATAAAAATTAGAAGTTGTTCAACAGTGAAGCCCAAATTACACGACGTCAAACTTTAAGGCCTTAGTTATCAACAAATGGGTTTTCCTCGGTTCTTTGAAGACACGCTAGAAGAAAAGTAACTTAAAGAACGAACTTAGGGTATTGGCGGATTTTTGCGCAAAGCAAAATAATGCTGCTTTGTTTGTAAGTTAACAGCTGCGATGGCTTGGGCATGTGTTGCGAATGCCTCCAGAAAGGAAGGCTAAGCAACTGTTGCTTGCA